TATACTACTGTTAATTTCTTGTTTTGATAATTATACTATGAAAATGAATGATGAGTATACTCGAACTCTTTACTATTTCTGCAACTTTTATATAAACCTAAAATTATTTCAAAATAGAACATGAGGGGAAAAAATGCCTTGCTCTGTATCAATGGCTTCCTGATGCCTCAGGACTCTTAGGACCAGTGCTGACTCAGTCATCACACATGCTCTTGTTACTATTCCATTCAGGCAGCATGGATATAGTTGGAGTGTACTATACATGTCCAGGAAACCATTTTAATTGTGCATGCTCTGCTCTTCAGAACAGCTCAGTCTATTCATAGCAAAAGGTGTCAATAATAGGTCATTTCAGAGCTCCAGGGATATGTAACCACTATATTAACACTCAATCAGTTCCTTTTGTTATCATTACCCCCTTTTAACATCTTTATTGAGCAGCATCCTCATGCTCTTTTGGTATATCTGACAGACCAGAGCAGGTTCTGACCTAAAGGGAAGCAATAGCAATATAACCATACAACTGACTGAGCGACACAGTGGATTCATGGCCACACAAATCACAGGGGCTCAATGGTGAACTATCATTACCCTACTGACACGACGGTAGCATCTGCATCAGATTTTCCACAAAAAAATCAAAGTATTCAGCAGAGCCACTAATAGTAAATCAAATGAGAGCTCCAATGGAGTACCATTCAGTCTGGTCACTAGAGGGCACTTCATCTTATCTTTTCTCTAGACTATCTAGGCACAATATTCAAGCAATGCTGTCAGATAAGCTTGAGTAGGATTTTCACTGTCAAGAGAAAACAGATGGGAATTTTTACCTGGAGTGGCCAGGACTCATCTGGAAAGATGGAAGCCAGCTAGAGAGGTTCTTCCTGACTCTGAGACAGCCTCAAGGGATCAGAGTATAGTTGCCCCTGTAAGTCAGGTCAAAGGAGCTCTGGTGGTACAGTGCCTAAGCCATTCGTCTGCTAACCAGAAGGTTGCTGGTTCAAACCTACCAGCTGCTACATGGAAGGAAGATGGAGCAATACACTTTGTAAAGATTTACCACCTCGGAAACTGAATGGGGGTCACTATGAGTCAGAATTGACTCCATGGGAGTGAGTTTTACAGTAAGGTCAAGAGTCCCAGGGTGGCAGAAACAGTTAAGTAACTGTATACTAACTGAAAGTCTGAGGGTTTGAAATCCAGACGTAACCTCAAAAGAAAAGCCTGGTGATGTACTTCCAAATGGTCACAAGCACCAAGAGTCCTACAGAGCACAGTTCTGCTACTTTGACAAACATGGGGTCACTATGAGTCCAAACTGACGCAAGGGCTACCAATTTGGTTTTTTAATAGTGGGGGCAAAAAATAACTCACTGTCATTCAGTCGATTCAACTCATAGTGACCACTTCTTAGGTTTCTGAGGCGGTATCACTACAGAAGCAGATTGTCCAATCTTCTTTCCAAGGAGTGGCTGTTGGGTTTGAATCACCAGCCTTCTGGTTAGCATTCAAGGGCCTTAGGCACTATGCCACCAGAGCTCCTAATACTGGGGGCAGCTAACAATTAATACTTCATCTTAGGCAATCTTTTCTTCTTCTTTCTTCTTTATTTAAACCCTTTCTCCACTCCATGGATTTAATTCATTGTTTGTTTGGCTATGATAATCTCCTATAGATTTAACAAAAGGAGTGGGCATCAACAAAGTACTTCCCACTTAACCATTCTGAGGAATTAGATGTTGAGTTTATGAGGTTTAATTAGAAGAGCCATTTCTCTAGTTGGGTAATGATGGCTGTTGACATGAGAGCACACTTGGCCATATTATGTGCAATCAGTACCCAACCCAGCTTCCTTCTGGGATATGTGCTGTAATATTTACAGGTAGAGTCACATTGGTCTTGTGTTGTAATGATCCCTTCAGGACCTGAAAATTTAACCCAGAACCTGGCGGTATGGAATGCAGCAAAACACACACACACACACACACACACACACAAATTGTACTTGTCTACAGTCTTTCAAAGAATACATGTCAATGGTATTACTTCCAGTGCAGCTGCCCCTAAGAGAAGTTTCATAATAAGAAATTCTGATAGCCATGTATAATCTTGGAACATCATGAACCAGTTTAATTTCCTATTTATCTTAATAATTCTTAGACAGCAGTGTTGAAAAGTCCATTCAGGAATACCTGGGTCTGGGATAAGTTCAGACTAGAGGCTTACACAACTGTCACAGTCAAACAGCAGTCTAGAAATCAAACCACATATTGCACTGGGCAAACCTGTACAGCAAAAAAAACCTCTTCAAAGTGTTAAAATGCAAAGAGGTCACTTTGAAGACTAAGATCCACCTGATGGTATTTTTAATAGCCACCTACGCATGTGAAAGCTGGACAATGAATAAGGAAGACCAAAGAAGAATTAGTGCCTTTGAATTATGGCGTTGGTGAAAAATATCAAATATACCATGGACTACCAGAAAAACAAACAAATCTGTTTTGGAACAAGTATAGCCAGAATTCCACTTAGAGTAAGGACGGAGAGACTTTACCTCCCGTATTTTGGACATGTTATCAGAAGGGCCTGATCCCTGGAAAATGACATTATGCTTGTTAAAGGTCAGTTAGAAAGAGGAAGACCCTCAATAACATGGACTGACATAGTGGCTACAACAATGGGCTGAAACATAGCAAGGCTTCTAAGGATGGCAGAGGACCAGGTAGTGTTTCATTCTATTGTTACACATGGTCGCTGTAACTCAGAACCAATTCAATGGCACCTAGCAGGAACACAAACTTTTATAAAAAGGAAAGCTATTCTATATTTACTCATTGTAGATAGACACTGAAACCTAGGTGTCCCCTACAAATGTGACAATTTGGCTAGGCTTATCCTCACTCAGTATTATGTAATTATCCTCCATTTTGTGATCTGATGTAATTATCCTATGTGTTGTAAATCCTAACTTCTATAGATGTTAATGAGGTAAGATGAGAGGCAATTATGTTAATGAGGCAAGATACAACTGACAGAATTAAGTTGTATCTTGAGTCAACCTCTTTTGAGATATAAAAAAGATGCAACAGGCAAGAAGAAACTGGAGAGACCTCCTAGCACCAAAAAAGAAGAGCCAGAAGGGGAGCACATCCTTTGGACCCAGGGTCCCTGTGGTAAGAAACTCCCAGACCCAGGGGGAACACTGATGCCAAGACAACGGAGATCTCCAAGGGGCACTCTGCCTAGATGTTAAAAGGAAACAAGGACCTTCTCCAGAGCTGACAGAGAGAAAAAGCTTTCTCCTAGAGCTAGTGCCCTGAATTTGGACTTGTAGTCTCCTAAACTGAGAAAGAATAAATTTGTGTTTGTTAAAGCTTGTGGTATTTCTGTGATAGCAGCACTACATAACTAAGACATTAGGCTTTCCAACATCATCATAATCCTTTTCCTGGTTCCTTCTTCAGGTTCACTTCTTTTCATACCACAGGAAACGTTCTGATGTAGTGCCATTTAGGATGAAGTGACTTGTCCTCCCCATCTGAGCCCACTCATCAACGCTGCCAGTAGCCAGAAGACTGCTTTACCAATGAAGGGAGCCCCAGAAGTTGTCACTGGGGAGTGCAAAAACCAATAATGTTCCTAGTGTCCATCTGTTCTGCTATTCACTCTTTAGAAAACAAGGATACTCTGGAACTCAACACACTTAACTACCTTTCTACTCCACCTCGAATCAGGTACCTACAGCAAAAGGAATGAGGTAAAAGTTGACGTGAGGATAGCTGCCTTGATTAGTTATTTCCAGGATATGTTAGTGAATTCTAACAATCAGCATTTCCTGTATACATTGAATCCCTAAGTGCTCCCCAAAAACCAAAAAACTTTAGGTCAAATTAGGGAAATTTACTGCCATAGACTAGAGAGCAGGGAAGTTATGTTTTTTCTACATGGTAGCTATTGCATATTTTGTGTAAAGTCTGCCACAATAAAGTTTTATTTATTTTTCTCTTTTTTCCCTTCCCTCACTCCAATCAACACGTGACCCCTAACTTGTCCAAAATTTTTCCTCCCTTTCCCTCCCATCCCCAGTTACCTAAAGAGTGAGTTTTTAGAAGGTTTTAGAAATGACTTATAACATTTGAGAATGTTTCAAATTCAAGAAGTTAAGACTGCCTGTGCATATTACCACAGAATCTAGAAAAAGATTGGGAACTCCGTAGTCTTTGACAGTTTATAAAGCAGTTCATACTATCTCCTTCTTAACTATCATATGCAGAGTTACAAGATACCCTGGGGACCATCTATCTAATGCTCTCAGTTTAAGGTTAAAAAACAGTAATGCTCAGGCAGGTTTTATGACTTTCTCTGATGTTTGATGACCATTAAGAAGAAAAAAAAAAAATCAAACCCACAGCACTGAGTTGATTCCAACTCACAGTGATCCACCAGCTGCTCTGTGGGACAAAGAAGGTAGCCTGGTCCTGCTAATAACAGTATTCCAATTAAATACCCCTTCTACTACATTTTATCTTCTAAATACTACAATTATTAATAATAGAAACCTCACTTATTTTAGGGTAGTGAAGGTAAAAGCTTAAAGCACACATAACAAACAATTTTGAACTGAGATCTCATGGGTAAATTTAAAGATCATTAAATTTATTTTTCAAAAAGATAGCATGAGGTCCAGGGAAATGATAAGGTTCTAGCTAATTCTGAGGAAAAAACAAAGTAAAATACTTGGATCTCCTATTCTTCCTTTGGGTTCTTCCCTCATTACAATACTCCTCTACTTACTTTCAAACTCTTAGCAGTTTGACAAAATTGGTCACTCTTTTTTTCTATCCAAAAAGGTATGCTATTTTTAAGTTTTATTCTATTTGAGGGCACTAGAGGTACTTTACATGCTTAAAATCACTACTAAAATAAATGAAGCTTCTGTCTTATAGGAATGCTGCTCTGACCAGTCATTCTGTTACAAATAACATTAACACAAAACTTACCAAGAACTGTCAGCTGAATCTTCTTATTTCCAACACCAGGAGCTTTTTTTACTTTGCACTGATATGTGCCAATATCTGATAAGTGTAAATTTGTTACATTTATTGAGGCATCACCAGATTTGAGATCATTACTTGTAAAATGTACCCGTCCTTTCAAATCTTGATAGTAGTCATCATAAATTTTGTCTCCAGAATATAAGATAATCTAAAAGAAAATCAAAATAAGAGAGGAAAAACGTAGCCAAGAAACAAACAAACAGAACCCTGTGTCTAATTAGAAGAGTAATGAACACATCATACATTGTGGGGAAAAAGAAATATAGAAAATGTCCATAATTGAATGGGAAACTAATGTGTTCTCTAAACATTCACCCAAACCACAATAAAATGTTCCGAATAAAAACATAAATTTTAATGCAAAGCCTTTAAAGAAAGCAAATATATACCTACCTACATATACATATATAGATAGAGAGAGAGAATTGTGAAAAGCCTATAATTATCTAAATTACAGAATGAAAAAATGGAAAGAGATCAATGTGATTACTTAAGTCTGGTCCAACACTTCCATTTTAACTGGGGAAACTAAGGCCCAACATGATCAAATCATATAGTCATATGTAAGAGAGCTATTCAGTGAGACTGGAAAAAAATGCAGATCTGTTAATTTCCATACACTCTACCTTACTGTAGTCCTTGGGTGGTGATAACAGTTAACGGGCTTGGCTGCTAATTGAAAGGCTGGAAGTTCCAGTCTACTTAGGGGTACACCTCAGAAGAAAGGCCTAATGATCAACATCTGAAAAATCAGTCACTGAAATCCTGTGGCGCACAGTTCTGCATTAACACACATAGGATGTCACAAGTAGAAACTGACTGGAGGGCAACTGGTGTTTAATTTCCAACTATCTCACAGGCTACAGTATGTCAATCAAGTGAATAACATCAAGTTTAACCCTCCCTCCAAAAGGCTAATGATAACTTATCTGTGGAATCAAAGAAAGGAAAAAAAGGACATTATTTTTGTCTTAATACTAAATCGGAGCACTTGAGGGTTCTAGACTCTAATATATACATAAACAAAACAAACCTTAATGTGTACTCAGGTTAACACAATCTTCCAAACCCTTTCCTAATTCCAATGAATTTTCTGGCATAGTACCTAAGGTATTTGACCGCTAACCAGAAGGTTGGCAGTTCAAACCCACCAGCCACTCTGCAGAAGGAAGACTGGGCAATCTACTTCCGTAAAGATTTACCGCCTCAGAAACCCAAAGGAAGTCTCTCTGAGTCGAAATCGACTCGATGGCAGTGAATTTGATTGGGGGGGGCACGGATATGGGTTTTGATGTAAATACCTAAAGGCTAGAATTTGAGGGGAAATAAAATCTGTGTTAAAATTGACTTGGATGGAAACGGAACAACTACAACATTTCATAGTGAGAATGTTCACCCATTGTATAGAATGTAACCAATGTCAGTGAACAACTTGTGCAGAAACTGTTGGATGGAAACTTAACTGCTGTGTAAACCTTCACCAAAAACACAATATATTTTTGTTTTAGAAAAACTTACTTGGAAAAAAATTGTTAATAGTCATCTCTAGCCATCAATAAAATTAACACATTTTATAATTTGCACATTTACTAATGAAACCCTTTATTCTGGGATATGAAACTCAAGGGCCAAAAGCAGTGGTGCTAAATTCAAATAATAATCAGGAAACATACAAATATCTGCAAATAGCATTTTGTCTGAGATGCTAATTATGGGCAGTACAATCAGATTAAATGTCACACAAGAACAGCTTTTCCCAAGGTTTATTCTATAGATACCTGAGGACAAGGAGTTGAGTTCTTTTCCCTATTACCATGTACCCTACCAGACTAACCACCCCTAATCTACAAAGATCTTATAAGATTTATATTATAAATGTTTGCATCTAGGATGCACTCAATATCAGCTTGCTAAGGGAATATAGGGAACTCTGGTGGCGTAATGCCTAAGGCATTTTACTGCTAACCAGAAGGTTGGCAGTTCAAAGCCACCAGCCAATCCTTAGAAGGAAGCTTGGGCTATCGACTTCTGTAGAGATAAAACAACAAAAAAAAAAACCAAATTCACTGCCAGCCTAGTCGGATCCAACTCATAGAGACCCCTCCTTGGGTCTCCAAGGTGGTATCACTACGGAAGTAGATTGCCCAACCTTCCTTCCGAAGAGTGGCTGGTGGGTTTGAACTGCCAGCCTTCTGGGTAGCAGTTAAATGCCTTAGGCACTATGCTACCAGAGCTCCTCGGAAACCCAAGGAGGGGTTGCTAAGAGTGGGATGTGACTTGATGGCAGGGATTTTGGTTTTGGTTTAAGGGAATAAAAGAGCAGTCAGTTGAAGGGCCCACAGCTGATATACTCTGCAAACTCAAGCCATTACTTTACTTCCTCCACCTTCCTACCACACCCACTTGTCAACAGCAACTATATCTTGCTCTGTATTTAACTACTGAATCATTGTTGTGTAAAGCTATTAGGTTCATTCTATTGTATTTTCCAATCCCTCAAGATTGACTCCATAGTAAACGGTTTGGTTTTTTTGGTTTATGTTTGCTAAGCATACACATCAGTCTTTTAAGGAGGGCCTGACAAATACCGATTTCCATGGTTTACTATTTTGTAAACGATTGTAGTATCTCCGCCCCCTCCAAAAAAAAGAAATAACAATGTTATAAACAGTAGGTAAGATATAAGGAATTAATATTTACCAACAAATTTAAAAAAACCAAACATTTATATGAACCATGTAAGTAAAAATAAAATTCTCCCCAAATACATGCATTGTCATAATCCCCTAAATAATTTTTCTCCTTACTCTAGATAATTATTTATTAATGTTTTTATTAACTGTAGCAGACCAAAAGCAAGATTCAAAATCAAATGAAATATTATGAAACTATTAAAAAGAAAAGTGTGATACATGTAGTTGAAGGTGAGATTACTGGAGAATTCCCCTCCTTTGTGCTATTTTTTGGTTTTCCAAGTTTTTTACAGTAGATTTTCATTACATTGTAATTGAAGAAGAGTTCTATTAACAACATTTTGATACTTAATTTTTTAAAATACAAGATTAAATATTTTGTAGGTCATTTTTATGTTATAAAGGCTTTGTTTTAAGAAATGCATTCTATACAGTTTTAACTTGAAAAAATAAGGAAAATAGACTCTAATAATATGTAACTTAATGACAATTTCTAACGATAACTGAGTCTTTGTGTAAAACTAAAAATTCATTTCTACCTAACTTTTAATACATGGTCCTTGGTGGTTACCTTTGTGTGTCAACTTGGTTGGGCCTGGCTGAGTGGCTGGGCAGCTGGTGGTAGTTATTCCCCATGATGAAAATGGCAATCAACTCCATGGTGGCATCTACCACAAGCAGCTGAGTAGCTGCTTTGGGTCTGTGGTCTGCTTCCTGTATATAAGCAGCAGCTTTGGGAATGGTCTCTAGCTTATGGCACACTTGAACCCTGCAAATAACTGTGTCATGGTTCAGCAGCCTACCATGCTCTGCCAATATTGGGACTTTCAATGGACTTGAATCAATGGCCTGCTGTGTGGTTTGTTAACATTGGAACTGTGCCTTTTTACTTGTTAACCTTGGGTTTGTTAGCCTCAGCAGGCAGCATCTGAGTGAAGAAAAGCCTCCAGTTTCAGTCGGCCAGGAGCAGGAGGTAGACCTGCAACCCAAGGTTGAGGGGCTCTCAGTCAGCCCCTAGAGCCTGGCACTTTGAACTCAGACTTGTTGTTGTTGTTGTTATGTGCCGTCGAGTCGGACCCGACTCATAGCGACCCCTCCTTGGGTTGCCGAGGCAGTATCACTACGGAAGTAGATTGTCCAACCTTCCTTCCGAGGAATGGCTGGTGGGTTTGAACCGCCAGCTTTCTGGTTAGCAGTCAAGTGCCTTAGGCACTATGCTACCAGAACTCAGACTTAAAACCTCCCAATTGTAAGAATAAACTCCTGTTTGTTAAAGCCAATCCATTTGTGGTATATTCCTGTCAGAGCAGTACAAGGTAACCAGAACAGTCCCCTAAAACATTATGCATATTCTTGCCTGCTATTGTTCCTGTAACATATTATCCCAAGTCCCCCACTGTCCACTTTGAATATATTTCCAAATCCACAATTTTGGAAGCTTAGCTTACAAGTTCCTCTTCTTTCTTAAAATCCAGTTACCTCTTCTTCCTCTGAAATCTTAGGTCACTTATTATCCATATCATTCCATATTCCTCACATTCCATCAGAGTGAAGGTTTTCCTCACCCATCCAAAAAATCCAAGAAGCCTGCGGTTTTCTTCTGTTTCCCATGCCCACCCTAAACATATGCTGAGTGAGCAAGCCCTTATCCAACTTACCACTTGATCCACCTTCTGGTTATCAGCTGGTGATAGCAGCCATTCAATGTCCAGAGGTCCCTGGTCTTCTGGACTAAGGGTAAATTTGCATGGCAAATAGGCAGTTTCCCCTTTGGCTTTTTCAATCATCTGTTCAGAAGGAGTAGCTATACTTAAACTTCTGGAGAAATCTGGAGAAAGAAACATGTACATGGATGAAGTAAGCATCTGCAATTAGCCTGGATGGCACAAATGGTTAAACACATGACTACTAGGATGGCAGTTCAAACCCACCCAAAGGACCCCAGGAGACAGGCCTAGCAATCTGCTCTAAAAAGGTTACAACCTTGAAAATCCTATGGAGCAACAACATAAGAAGTAGGTGGAAATGCATGCATATATATGTATAAGAATGCACATGGGAGTAAAAGCACATGCATGTATAAGTGAATCTGTTAAAAAAAAAAAAACCCAAAAAACTCATTGCTGCCGAGTCAGATCCAACTCATAGCAACCCCTCCTTGGGTTTCTGAGGCGGTATCACTACAGAAGTAGATTGCCCTATCTTCCTTCTGAGGGATGGCTGGTAGCTATGTGTATATATATATGTTTGTGTGTGCTGTATATATTTCCATAAATATAACAAAGCACATAGGGAGCACAGTTACTGAGGCATCCTAGACACATCTAAGCAACTTGCAGGATTGGTTTACTGGGTTAAAAGGCACAGGACTATAGACTTCAGGGACAACTCAGTCAACCAACATAACACAGTTCATAAAGATAATGTTCTACATTCTAGTTTGTTAGAAACGTCTAGGGTCTTAAAAGCTTGAAAGGGGACATTTAAGATACAAGTATTAGTCTCTTATTCATATGGAGCAAAAGAGAATGAAGGAAATCAAAGGCTCAAAGAAGAAACTAGTCCACAGGACTAACAACCCACATGTACCATGACCTTGCTAATCTTAGACCAGAATTAAATGGTGCCTGGCTACCACTGCTGACCATTTTAATCAGGGACACAACAGAAGGTCCTAGGTAGAATGGGAGAAAAATGTAGAACAAAGCTCAAATTCCTAAAAAAAAAAAAAGGCCAAACCTACTGGCCCAATAGAGACTAGAAGAACCCTGAGACTACACTGTCCTAAGAAAACCTTTCAATTTAGAGGTCATCTTTCAGCCAAATAATAGATTGGTTTATAAAGTATAAACAGTCTCACTTGTGAGTAACACGCTCCCTTAAACAATCAACTTTATGAGACTAAAGAGTCAACATAAAAGCAAAGATGAGAAGGCAAGGAGGGAAGAGGAAGCTAGCTGAATGGAAACAGAACAAAGTGAATGGAAATAATCAAAATGCTGACACTGTGAAAACTGTAACCAATGTCATGAAACAATTTGTATTAAGAATTGTTGGATGGGAGAAGACTTCCGGTAAGATGGTAGAATAGGCAGACAAGTTCCACAGACCCTCTTCAACAAAGAAAAGAGAAACCAATGGACAGAGGTAACACAAGATGATCCTGGAGCCCTGAGCTTTGAAAGGAACTATACAGAAGCAGATTAGGCACCAACTAGTGGAAAAACCTGAACAAAAACAGTGAGTACAGAGATGAGCAGAGCAGTGGACTGTCAGCTGGTTTGACAGGACTGACAGCCTGAATATTTCCAAGTGGTATTGGGACCTGAGACTTGACCTAAAGATCAGCCCTTGTCACCAAGGACTGTAGGGATGACTGCGCTTGTGGCCTCTGACTAGGAAGAAAAACAGCAAGGAGGGAGACAACCTGAGCTGTGGACTGTTAGCTGTCCAGAGGGCACAGCCATTTTGATTGTTTACATTCAGTGGCCATTTTGGATATTTAAAGTGACCGGGGGTGCAGCCAAGTTGAATGTTGAACAAGCAGCAGCCATTTTGGATTTTAAAATGAAAGCAGTCTCATTCGATTCCAGGGACCTAAAAATAGGCTCCACTTGCCAAGGACGGCAGAGACATATGGGTGGCAGACAACGGGAAAGGAGACCGGTGGTGAGCATGTAAGTGCTGTCAACTAGCAAACAGAGAAGCACAGCACAGTACCTGCTTACATAGATACAAATAAATCAAAGAAAACAAAAATCATGGGCCAGTCACTCCAACATACTATTGCCAATTAAATATAAACACAAAAACGTCGCAATGCCTTGGAGACAACAGAGCATCAGAGTCCACTCAAAGAAGCAAGAAAAAACAGGAGAAACAAGGGGCAAGGATACAGACTCAAAACATATCCCTGAGGAAGATGCAGCACTGGAACTCCCTGATAAGGAATTCAGAAAAATTATATTTAGGTACCTTCAACAAATTGAGAAACAGATCAAGGTAAACACTGATAAAATTGAGGAAAATACAGAGAAAACCCTACAACAATTTCAAAAGATAAGAACAAAATGACAAAATAAATGAAAAATTAGAAATGATACAAAATCTACAGACAGAAATCCAGAACATTAATACTAAATTTTCAGAAATAGATGAGACATTGAAGGGGCAAAGGAGTAGAATTGAATCAATGGAATACAGAATTAGTGAGATTGAAGGCAAATACCTCAATACTTCTTTGGAAATGGAACAATCTGAAAAAAGACCAAAACAAAATGAAGAAAGCCTAAGGTTCATGTGGGATACCATCAAAAGGAATAAACCTACATGTAATCAGAATTCCAGAACAGGAAAAGAGAAATGAAACCACAGAGAAAATAGTTGAAGATTTGTTGGAAGAGAATTTTCCTGGTATGATGAAAGATGAGAATATATCCACTCAGGAAGTCTAACGAACCCAAAACAGGATAGACCCCAAAAGAAAATCACCAAGACATATCATCATCAAACTCACCAAAACCAAAGATAAAAAAAAAAATCCTAAAAGCAGCATGGGAAAAACAAAAAGTTACCTACAAGGGACAACCAATAAGACTAAGCTTGGATTTCTCAGCAGAAACCATGCAGCTGAGAAGACAATGGGATGGTTCATATAAAACCCTGAAAGAGAAAAATTTCCAACCAAGAATTATATACCTGGCAAAACTGTCCCTGAAATATCATGGTGAAATTAGAACATTTATAGATAAGGAGAAATTAAGGGAATTTGTTAAAACCAGACTAACCTTATAAGAGATGATAAAAGGAGTCCTTTGGACAGAAACCAACAACTGACCATTTAACACACATGATGACATAACCCAGAAACCAACCCAGTTATAGAAGTATCCAAAGTAAATAAGCCTACAAGATTGTAAACAAAGAACCAGAGATATCAATTGACAAATGAAGATAACTACAACCCAAAAAGTGGGAAAAAACTGTGTAGTCACACAACTTCTAAATGGTAGGGAAGTCTAGACAACTACAAGATAGAACGGACGGTTCTAAACTCGGGAAGAAATTATAAATCCTGTACAGGGTAACCTCAAATTAAAATGATAAACCTTCACATCAAAATAAAAAAGAGGACCAGCTCAAATAGTCAGCAAATACGAAAACAACAGCAACGAAGGAAGCGATAACACAATGCATAAACAAAACGAGCTCAGCACAGAAAATTACATGGAACAAAGAAATCAACACCACAAAAAAGTACATAACAAAATGACAGCAACAAAATCATACTTGTCGATAATTACATATCTGACAAGGGACTTATCTCTAAAATTTATAAAAAACTCCAACACCTCAACAACAAAAAGACCAACAATCCATTTAAAAAATAGGCAGTAGACATAAATAGACACTTCACCAAGATGATATTCAGGCAGCCAGCAAATACATGAAGAAATGCTCATGATCACTAGCCATTAGAGAGCTGCAAACAACGAGACACCATCTCAGGACTAATGGCAAAGTTCAACGAAGACAGAAAATGGCGGGTGCTGGCAAGGATGTGGAGAGATTGGGACTCTTAAACACTGCTGGTGGGACTGTAAAATGATACAACCACTGTGGTAAATAGGATGACGATTCCTTAAAAGGGTGGAATTAGAAATACCATTTGACCCAGCAATCCCATTACTAGGTATATATCCTAAAGAAGTGAGAGCCAGGACAAGAACAGATATATGCATGCCCATGTTCATCACAACACTATTTACCATAGCAAAAAGATGGAAACAACCTACATGCACATCAACATAAGAATGGATAACTAAACTGTGGTACATACACACAACGGAATACCACGCAGTCCTAAAGAATAATGTAGAATATGCAAAAACACTTCATAACATGTATGAACTTGGAGGACATTATGCTGAGTGAAGGAAGTCAGTCACAGATGGACAAACACAGCATTAGTTCATTATTGTAAAAAGTCAAGGACAGGTTTATATATGGAAGGGAACTTTCTTTGTTAGTTACCAGGGATGGGATGGGAGAGGAGAGAACACTGCAAAAAAAAAAAAAAAAAAGCATTGACCCATGTCACATTAGTTTTGTGTATTTCACTGCACATAAATTATATTTCAATAAAGTGCATTAAAAAAAAAGAATAATTGTTCAATAGGAACCTAATTTGCTGTGTAAACTTTCATCTGGAAAACAATAAAATTTATACATATATATTTATATATATTAAAAAACAAACAAACAAAAACCTACAGAGCAGTTCTATTCTGTTGGAATTAACTAGACATCAACTAAAAATCCTGATAGCTCCATTCATGCACCACACCCTCAGGAGGAAGAGTGTAATTTGGTGGAAACAGAATGGGATTTGGGTCAAAGTAACTGATTTCAAACTAAGCAATCCCCAGTTTTTAATTTGTGCCTTTGTGAAAAGAGAATGACTATATTAACATTTATCTTATGGATACAATTCCCTTTAAGAGTACTGTGAATTTCCCAGCATTAGAAAAGTTTTTACTAGAACTGAATTTAACCAGACTCTCTAAAAGATCAGTTTAGTCATACTAATTTATGGCTACATTAATTCATGCTTTGCCACAGTACCACCTACACAATGGAAGCTCATTTTTGGTGGGGCACATGCTAATGAATTTTGACAAGCCTTCCACCAAGGCTTCTTTAAGTCTAAATTTTGATGAAAACAACTCAGAAAGAGGGGGAAATGTTTTGAGACCACTTACATTTTTTAATTTATGAAATAGTTTTCTATTTCTACAAATCTGTTTTCTTTGAGGCATTTCTTACTAT